ACAGGACACCCGACCTCCCAGAACTCTCTCTCTCTCACTTCTCACACACACACCCCACACGGACCACACCCCACACACCCCACACACACACACACCCACACACGGACCACACACCACACACCCCACACAGCGGTGATCTAATAAAAGCCCGTCTAAGTCTGAAAGGGAAAGCGGCGGTAACCACGGTACTTAGCACTGTTGTCCTTATCCATCAGGAAGGATCTCTGTTTTGTTTTGTCTGCCACTTCCGAGCGCGGGAGGGCCAAGACGCGACGAGAAGGGAAATAGAAAAAATATAGAACATGACCGTGTCTCGACGCGATAGAATCAGGCGCTCGTCAATTTTTGGGGTATTCGGAGTTATTGGTATCATCTTAATAAAGCTTGTTCATTTATCTTGCTTTCTATGAAAAAAATACCCCTTTTATCTTGAGTAGAAGTGAAGATATTAAGTTAACCCTTTTCGTACGTCGTGTTTTACTATCGTATCCATACGACGTGGGGAACTCTGTGCCACCACTTTCCAAAGAGAAAATTTACTCGTTAATCCAATTTGTACGCTTTTTCATAGCAGTTTGTTAACATCATTTTTTTAAAGAAATACTGAAAGTTTCAAAGAGATCTTCGTACTAGAAATATTATAAAATGTGAAGAATACAACCCCGCGTACGGATAGGGTTACAATTTGTGATTGAAACAGGTAAGGTCGCTTTGTTTCAGTTGAAAAATAGCGAGAATATGGCCGCCACAGTTTGGTAACTCCAATACCTAAATAGTCCTTGAAACCTGAAAAATTACATATTATTTTGAGCTTTTAATCAACGTTTTCCAATAAAATTCACACGGAAATGCGATTTTATTTGGACATAAAAGGGTTGAACAAAAAAAGAAAGGAAAATAAATGAAAAAATTGCCAAAGTGGTGGGAAAATGCCTGTTTCTCCAATTTTTTAATATTTTGACGAGCGCCTGATTTGACCACGATGCCTCACAATAGAACATGTCTTTGAGCGCGTGTGGCGAGGAATGTCTGGAGTGACGGGGGATGTTGGTTCCGGGCAGTTCCGGTCTGTTCCGTGTGTGGTGAGTTAAGTGATAGAATAGCATACTGCGCGTGCTTGTGTGTTCTTTGATGTGGGAGTACGATGTGTGAGTGTGTGTGTGTGTGTGTGTGTGTGTGTGTGTGTGTGTGTGTGTGTGTGTGTGTGTGTGTGTATGTGTAGGCCCCTTTGTGTGTGTGCTTGTGTGTGTGTGGTACATGTCTGTTGTACATTTAACATTTACTTCTTTCATTTGACCGTAAATTTGTTGGTTGTTTATACAGTTCTATTTCTTTTTTTTTAGATAAAAAAGTTCTCAAATGTTATTTGCCAATAGTAGTCATTATTTCACAGTCACTATTCTAAATCTTAAATGTTGTTAAGGTGAAAAGTCTTTGTAAGTACTTGAGCGTAGTATTCAAGTCCCAGCATCTTTTTGACTATGGTGTGGATGAGTTTGGTTCAAATCCTCACTGGAAGTTGGATTGTTGGGGGGAGTTTGTAAGGCTTTTGTCATCCCTGGCTCAGTGCTATCAGAAATGGATGTTAAAGTCAGAGGTCCTACCTCATACAAACCACACAGTGTTGAAAGGGCTGTAAAACTAATACAATTCCTCAACCAGCTGGTAAAATCTACGAAGCCCAAAATTTTGAGAAATGTTTTTTTGCAGTTATTTAATCTGTGGTATTGGTAGGCCTATAGGTTGCTTACGCTCAAAAAATATTTAGTTGAAATTCAAATCCTAATTGTTAACAGTAAGCGAAAAAAAATACTCAAAGTGGTTGCAATTTGTTAATAGAATGAAACAATTTTTTTTCTCTCCTGAAAAAAACAACCTCAATTTGTTTATGGGCTCAGTAGATTTGAACAGCTTGCCCATGAATTACCCCGCTCCAAAACCATCTCATCTCCCTACAGGTATGTTTTGACCTGTGACATCCGACTCAAGATGGAGAGCTGTTTCCTCGCTGGCTATCTCTTCAAGGTATGGATAACTTTTGTTAGCTGTTTATTAGATATATTTTTAGCCCCTTGATTGTATAGTAGGTCATATCTCATCTTTTCCTCCTATTCAATTTTCAATTTTCAATTTTATCACTTTTCATCTTTTATCAATTTCTACCATATCTTGTTTTGGTTCACGTAACTCCCGTGAAACTCAGGCTAAAACTGAAAAAAACAACCCCAAAACCCACCTCTAATCTTTGGCATTTGTATGACTTATTAGTCTTGCAAGTGCCGTAAAA